CCTATCAAAGAAGAACATTACTCGTGGAATTTCAGACAGATGAACCGGAATGGTATTTGTTGGTTCCTGTCAAGAAGTGGATCATTGTGGATCAAGTGGATCGTCTTGTTGCAGACTTGGTGAGATCGTTCTTTTTATCGTTTTTTGTCAGTTTGTACTTTGTTCCTCCATGTTTGAGGTTGATGATGTGCTCACGATTTGAGAAGGAGTAGACTGTGCGTGTGATCGAACGTGACGTTTGTTTTTGTTTTTCGTGGAGTTTTTTTTTTATTATCTATAGTCGGTTGCTGATCTGGTCAAATCCAGGCCCAGGAGACAATTTCTAGTTTGTCAGCGAGTTCATTAAGACAGAAGAAGTCCTGCGAGAGCTGCATCTCATTGTATCTAGTTCTACCTCTCTGTTATTTCCCGTTGAGAAGCTGTTCCGAAGTCAAGTAGAACCTCCATGAGGCGTCCCATCATTCGTCCCACCATTAGTTCCATCATTCGTCTCAGCGTTGAGTCGCAGCGCTGAACCTGACAATTGGCCATGAAAATGCTTGCCAATGCACATACACTTAGACAAATTTATGTAAATTTAGATGCTCTGAGAGCGACATATACGAGCGTCAATTTTGACATAAATTTGGGTCAAAACAGATGCGAAATATAGCTCAATCAAACGTACTCTTCGTCGTGCAACGAAGTTTTCAGTCTCGGGGTACGACATGTTTGCTTACGTCTCATCTTTTGTGTCAAAGATGGATTCCGTTAAGCGAACCCCACACGTATCAATATATTGACAAGAAGAGGAATTATTGACAATTATATTGATCATGTGAATAAAGAAATATTGTCAATACCGATACATTGACGTCAATATAGAATGTATTGACAATACGATTATTGTCAATAAAAACAATCGTGTAGGGTCCACTTTACGTGTAAATAAGTTATTTCCAAGTGTGCATCAAAAATCGACTACATACATCCGATCATTTTTTATCTCAAATCGAGGGAAGACTGAACTAGTTTATGGCATCAAGCTTCGTCTACAATTTGGACTTCTACATCAACACATGTCAAGCTGCCTTCAGGTTCAATTGGCTAAACTTGGTGAGTTCGTTGCATTTTGTTATTTTTTTATCTTTTCAAACCAGTAACGTTGGGGGATCACCTTTTTGTGGTGCGAACCCTAGTCGTGATAATTTCAAACTGGGGAATCAGAATTTTCCAGTAATCAAAGGATCACATTTTAGTTCTTGTTACTTGATAATAGTGACAAGACTCGGGTAGTGACCACCGCCGTTATGCATTTCTATGCTGTATAATTCAAAAATATTTTTTATGTTCATAGAGTTTACATAATCCTTTTCCCTTTGTCTTTCTCCTTTTCATTTCCCAATTATCTTTTCAGAAAGCGAGTAATGACGCTATAGCCAAAAACCATATAAGGCTAGGACAAGAGTTAGTGCTCATGTCCCAACCGTCAGAAGAAAATGGAGCATCACTTAACCTTTCTAGCGTTGATGCTTCCAACGACCAACCAATTATATAATTACCAAAATCGGAACGTACGGTACGATCCATTTATTTGATTCTGGATTGGATTCTGAAGCATCGTGTTTAAATCTTCGATTCAAACTGGCCCGATGTTTTCTGAATCATCTTGCCCCTTAAATGCCTGGCCGTTTTGATATGTGTGACGCATCTTCGATGTGAAACGTATACCAAATAGACAAGAAAAATTATGGAGGTATATCCATCATTTTCCAGGATGCTTTCAAGAACTTATTGTGTTGGTGTTAGATTAGATTAGATTGTGGAGAATTGGCCACTTACCCGGGGTCATCAGAACATGCCCTGTAAGGGCAATCCGATCGTGAACTCACTATAAGACCATTACCACAATAAAATGTTATATGACACACGACTGGTTGTGGTTCTAATCGGGAATTGTCCACGACGGGTTTGGTTCTTGTCGAAAATTGGCTACTTCTTTGGGGCACCGGAACATGCCCGAGGGAACTTGTGTGACCGTTGACTGTCAATAAGGCCAACCTTATTAAATGATGAACTGTACCTTTTTAAATGATGAACTGTACTGTGTCATACGACCGGTTTTTTAAAATTGATCACTTCTCCGAGGATACCGGGGGTGGCCAATGTGAACGTGTCATATCAATAAATCCATTACCCGCTGAGTTAAGAAAAACCATGAAGTTTGATATGTCGTACGACGGGTTTCGGTTCTTGTTGAGAATTGTCCACTAGCCTGAGGGCACCGAAACATTCCCGGGAGACCTAGTGTGACCTTCGACTCACATTAAGAACATTACCGGCCATGATTTGTGAAATCATTAATTTTGATATGTCACACGATGGGTTTTGGTTCTTGTCGAGAATTGGACACTTCCTCGGGGGCACCGGAACATGCACCGGAACGTGCACCGTCGGTATAGCTGATTGATTGAGAAATTGAAAGATTGAGTAATTATGGTTTTAGAGCTAATTGCATTTTGAAATCCATGCAAATTTAGACGTTAGGCACGCAAAGGTTAATGAGAATATGTGGTGGAGATTTGTATAACAACTAAAGGAAAGTTGGGGGTCGTGCGTTCGTGTTAGGCATATGGAGTCTAGTTCGTTTTTACAAAACATTTCCGGATCCCACCGGCCAATCAAAATTATTGTCCTTAAGTTGGAAAAAAAAATCGGTGTTGATTTAGAGGTGCTTCAACTAAATTCAGTGATTTGCAGGTAATTTCTGTTTTACAATATTCGTATCTTGAAACTGAAAGCATGACAACTGCTGTAACAACTTGCATGCTAAAGCTAAATATGTTATCTACCAACTCTGTAAAAAGGATTTGTCGATTTAGAATGTTTTTATTGCATTTTGATTTAGTTTCATGCTTAGAGATATCCCAATTAAGCAAAAAGCTATCAGTTTGCCCTTGTAATAAAAAAAATTTGCACGTTGCGGCATAATTTTCCTGGCCTATTCTCGACATTTCGTTCAAAAGTAGATTTTATGTAGTTGAAGATGTTAATTTCAAATAACAGACTGTAGTGGTAATTTTTATACGATAGATGGAGTAGATGAAAGTATAGAGTTGATAGTTCCGTTAGAGTACGGCACTGCCGTACGGAACTAGCAACTCTATACTTTCATCTACTCTATCTATCGTATAAAAATTACCACTACAGTCTGTTATTTGAAATTAGCATCTTCAACTACATAAAATCTACTTTTGAACGAAATGTCGAGAATAGGCCAGGAAAATTATGCCGCAACGTGCAAATTTTTTTTATTACAAGGGCAAACTGATAGCTTTTTGCTTAATTGGGATATCTCTAAGCATGAAACTTCGTCCTTTTTAGAGTTTACAAACGACCAGAAACGCTTTGGATTTCTGCGAAGAGATGATTGCGTACGGAAGACGTATCGTCGATACAGGAATCTGTTGTATTTTCTATACTCGTTACTTTTGCGGTTGAACTCCTGCTTCGTAATGTACGAACGATGTTGGCAGTATCTTTGTAGCGATTTAGCCCTATACCGTTTCAGTCGACGCATGTGACCGTTAGACCACGGTGGCTTTGGTGCGGGGCGGGCAATAGGTACAAATTCAGCCATGATAGCCATTTGATTGAAATATTCAACGGCATCGTCAACACATCCAGCTAATTCTATCGCCAGTCGATACCGGAAATAGCAGCACTAATCGCAACATCCAGTGTACGATTATTTTCGGAACAATCCTCAAAAACGATTGGCACTGGGAGGTTCACCAGGACGTCTAAAGCAGGGTGGTCTGCATCTATGGCTTCCGAAACGTAGCATGCCAGAGTTGCAGCTTCTTTAGACAGAACAAGGTCAAGAAATCGAGCGTTCCTATTCAATACACCATTGATCTGCGTAATGCCATGTAAAGCGAAACCGTCGATGAGCGTTGAACTAGCAGCCGATAGAACCGATTGAGGCTCAACCTGGAAAGACCCATCGTACGACTTACTCCACCGGATCATAGGCTGGTTATAATCTTCGAGCTGGGTGACAATAGCTCCTTGCACCTTTGTCTGGAATTCTTCGATGCAATCGGTGTAAATATTTGCATTATTTGATAAATCTCAGTTAATCATGACAGCAGTAGGTCTCTTTTCTTCATTAAAATTATTTTCAATAATCAAACGTCATGATTACCTGAGTTTTGTCAAATAAGGTAAATATTTCCATTGCTTGCACTAAAGAATAAGATGGTGTATCGAATGAATCTTTTACACGAAGCGTAATTGGTTACGGTAGCTGAAAGGCTGCGCAATCTACTAGTCAACTTTTATTACCAAATGAGTTTAAATTTTGGGAGACTAATCAGGACCGGGTTTGGAACCACACTTAAGCACTGTGGAGCGAAAATTTCAAATTTTGCATCAGTCTAATGGGGTAGTGTTTTGTATTTGTTTCCGAAAGCAAAATTAAATCACACCAAGCCTAACCGATGCAAACAATCTGCTCTCGATTGAACTTCAATAAAATCACAGTAAGGCGAGAAAAAAAGCACACCTCTCAGTTAGCCATTATCGCCAGTTATTGCAGTTATTATTACAGCTGCCACTGCCGCCATAGAGTGCTGGTAACTTTCAACCGAATACAAAAAAAATCCCTCCCTAGCGAAACTCAAATAAACGATACAACTTTCATCGTTTACTTCCCTCGATCACACAGCCCCTCCCCCTCCGGTGCAGGCGTCAGAAGGGAGTGAAACTTTCACATTGATGTTTGAGTAAAATTCCACGTTTTTTTCCCTACGCCATTGTGTTATAATTTTCCGGTCCCGATTGTTGCGCAGCAGTTGATCAAAGCGAAGGAAAGCCGAAGTGCGCCCAGCAGGAAATTGTTCTCGGCAAAAAAAAGAAAGAAATGCAAGGAAAAATCCGTTTTCTTCACTGCGTTGTATCATCAAAATGAAAGAATATAATGATAACAGTGATTATGAAACTCGCCGGCGAAGACTTACCCAACAGTTCCCATTCGCCGTTCGTTATGAAACTGCTGATATCGCCGCCCGACTCGTCCTGTAGCTGCAGATCGAGCTGTAATTGTAAAACACAGAAAGGGAAAAAATATGCATTAGGATGTGAGGTTCGTCTAGCATGGGGCAAGCGTATCTATTTTGGATCCATGGAAGCATGGGTCCAAAACACGAACAGTAACCCTATTGCTCGTGTTGAAACAGAGAGATAACGATTGAAATTAAAATTATTTGCCAAATGCAAATGTTACTCATTCACGACGAAGACGACGACGACGATGATGTTGGCACTCCGTCCTGCGGAATGGCTGGGAGCTATGAAAGCTGGCGGGCGATGTGTATGCAAAATGTAACGAAATTAAAAGAAATGAAGAACTACTGTCTGTGCGCTGCGCTGTGGAGTGGAGCAATAGAGTGCTTTACTTCGAGTGTCCCATCGCAGATTCGTGTTCTAGTTTCGGTTATGATGTGGAGCTACACCGCGTCATAATGGAAATGCAGAGAATATTACTTTGTAAATGGAAAATACACATGGCTGGAGGAATGTTATGCAATTAAATTCATGGTTGTTCTTCGTTTTGAGATGAGAAAGTGAGATTCTGATTTACTGATTACTGGATGTTGTTCAACCATTCTTTAACGCACAGAGTGACATATTTCATAGTACTCTACCCTACTATGAAATTTTTCACTTGGTGCGTTAAAGAATGGTCGACGTTCCTGGGGCCTCCAGCGATCTCTGGTGTTTGTGCATGCCACGATCCCGTGTGCACTGTTAGCAAGACCTACCACCATCACGATCGCTGAACCTACAATGATACTACCCGGCCACTACCATCGGGCCACTGCTGCCATTCTTAATCTTATGATTTTCATCAGACTGAATGCTGTAGCTAGGCGGATTAAACTTGCCATCAACGCATCAAAGACAAAATACACGAAAGGAAGAGGATCTAGGGAAGATAATGTTAGCCTCCCACCCCGAGTTCAGATTGACGGTGACGAAATTGAGGTGATCGATGAGTTCGTGTATTTGAGCACACTGGTGACCGCCGAAAATGATACCAGCAGAGAAATTCAACGACGCATTATGGCAGGGAATCGTGTCTACTTTGGACTCCGAAGGACGCTCCGGTCGAATAAAATTCGCCGCCGCACGAAGTTGACTGTCTACAAGGCGCTGATTAGACCGGTGGTCCTTTACGACCACGAGATCTGGACTATGCTCGTGGAGGACGTGGTGTTTTCGAACGGAAGGTGTTGCGTACCATGTACGGTGGAGTGCAGATGGAGGACGGAACGTGGAGGAGGCGGATGAACCACGAATTGCACCAGCTGCTGGGAGAACCATCCATCGCACATACACACATACATACACAGCAAAAAAATAATTTTGATATCACGTCAAAGTGGATGCACTACAATCATGTCGAAAATATGGTGTAATATTACTTGCTAAAAAGGACGAAATTATCATTAATACAATGCATGAACTGACATTACGCTGCTTTTACTGCATTTGTTTATTTATGTGGTCATAAAAATTACATGAAATTTTCAACATGATTGTAGTGCATCCACTTTGATGTGATATCAAAATTATTTTTTTGCTGTGTACATTTATTTGTACAACATCACATTTAATAGCGAATTCGTTTATTATCGGGTGCGAAACCGAACTTTTTGTCAGTGCGAACCTCAACCTGAGCTGGATTTTAAAAACAAACGATCAAACTGACGTTTGTCAGAAAACAAGCAGACCAAATCTTGATACCCGATCCAGGTTGGAACTGAATAATAAACGAATTCGCTATAAGATTAGACATAATCAACAATAGTACGCCACAATACTCGGTTTGCGGCTGCCGCTCTTCATCCTCGGTCATGCCCAATGCTCGCTAGATCACGCTCTACCTGGTCCACCCATCGTGCTCTCTGCGCTCCACGCCTTCTTGTGCCAACCGGATCAGTAGCGAACACCAACTTTGCAGGGTTGTTGTCCGGCATTCTTGCAACATGCCCTGCCCACCGCATCCTTCCGGCTTTGGCCACCTTCTGGATGCTGGGTTCGCCGTAGATTGCAGCGAGCTCGTGGTTCATTCTTCGCCGCCACTCACCGTTCTCCTGCACACCACCGAAGATCTTCCTTAGCACACGTCGCTCGAAAACTCCGAGAGCTTGCAGGTCCTCCTCGAGCATAGTCCATGTCTCGTGTCCATAGAGGACCACCGGTCTTATTAGCGTTCTGTACATGGTACATTTGGTGCGGGGGTGAATCTTTTTTGACCGTAGTTTCTTCTGGAGCCCGTAGTAGGCACGGCTTCCACTGATGATGCGCCTTCGTATTTCACGACTCACATTGTTGTCAGCCGTCAGTAAGGATCCAAGGTAAACGAATTCCTCCACTACCTCGAAAGTATCCCCGTCTATCGTGACATTACTTCCTAGACGAATCCTATCATGTTTGGTTCCACCTACTAGCATGTACTTTGTTTTTGACGCACTCACCACCAGTCCGAACTTTGCTGCTTCGTGTTTCAGGCGGGTGTATAGTTCTGCCACCATTCCAAATATTCTTGCGATAATGTCCATGTCGTCCGCAAAGCACACAAATTGACCGGATTTCGTGAAAATCGTACCCCGGCTGTTGAGCCCGGCTCGTTGCATTACACCTTCTAGAGCAATGTTGAAGAGTAGGCATGAGAGTCCGTCACCTTGTCGCAGTCCCCGGTGAGATTCGAATGAACTGGATAGTTCACCCGAAACCCTTACGCAGTTTTGCACACCATCCATCGTTGCTTTGATCAGTCTGATCAGCTTCCAAGGGAAGCCGTTCTCGTCCATGATTTTCCATGATGTCATATGCCGCCTTCAAGTCCTGGTATTCACGGCATTTCTGGAGGATTTGCCGTACGGTGAAGATCTGGTCCGTTGTCGATCGGCGGTCAATGAAGCCGGCTTGATAACTTCCCACGAACTCGGTCATTTTAGGTGATAGACGACGGAAGATGATCTGGGGTAGCACTTTGCAGGTGGCATTCAAAATGGTGATCGCTCTGAAGTTCTCACATTTCAAATGGTCGCCTTTCTTGTGAATGGGGCAGATTACCCCCTCCTTCCACTCGACCGGTAGCTGTTCTGTTTCCCAGATCCTGACTATCATCCGGTGCAGGCAGGTGGCCAACTTTTCTGGGCCAATCTTACCAGCTGCTTTGTTGTTTTTGAGCTGCTGAATGGCATCCTTAACTTCCCTCAGCGTGGGAGTTGGGTCAGTTCCGTCCTCTGCTGCACTGTCGTAGCCGTTGCGGGATGCGTTGAGCTTCTGGTAGAACTTCCATGTTTCTTGGGAACGGCACAGCAGTTCCATTTCCTCGCACTCCGCTTCTTGCAGGTGCCGTTTTTTCTCCCGAAAGATGCGGGTCTGCTGTTTCCGCTTCTGTTTATACCGTTCCACGTTCTGTCGGGTTCCATGCTGCAGCATTACCGTGCGTTCTTCTCCTCCAAAATCGCTCTGCACTCCTCGTCGAACCATTCATTCCGTCGACTTATTTCCACGTACCCGATGGTGCTCTCGGCTGCGTCGGTGATGGCTGCTTTTACTGTACTCCAACAGTTCTCTAGAGGGGGCACATCGAGCTCGCCCTCCTCTGGCAACGCTGCCTCGAGATTCTGCGCGTATGCTAAGGCGACATCCGGTTGCTTCAGTCGCTCTAGGTTGTACCGTGGCGGGCGTCGGTACCGTACATTGTTGATGACGGAAAGTTTTGGGCGCAGTTTAACCATCACCAGGTTGTAGTCAGAGTCGATGTTAGCGCCACGATAGGTCCTGACGTCGATAATGTCGGAGAAGTGCCGTCCATCAATCAGAACGTGGTCGATTTACGATTCCGTCTGCTGTGGTGATCTCCAGGTGTAACGATAGTGGAGGCTCTGTTGGAAGAAGGTGATACGTATGGCCATGTTCTTGGAGGCGGCGAAATCGATGAGTCGTAGGCCGTTCCCGTTCGTCAGCTGGTGGGCGCTGAACTTTCCAATCGTCGGTCTGAATTCCTCCTCCTGGCCTACCTGAGCGTTTAGGTCTCCTATGATGATCTTGACGTCGTGGCTTGGGCAGCGATCGTACTCGCGGTCAAGCTGCGCGTAAAATGCGTCCTTGTCATCATCAGTGCTTCCGGAGTGAGGGCTGTGCACGTTGATTGTGCTAAAGCTGAAAAATCGGCCCTTGATCCTCAACCTACACATTCTTTCGTCGATCAGCCACCAATCGATCACGCGCTTCTGCATTGCGCTCATCAGATTACCTCTAAACGTTCGCACCATGGATCCTGTCCAACACACATCCTGCAGCGCTACGATACCGAATCTGCGGTCCTTCAGTAGATTGGCGATTATTCGGGTGCTTCCGATGAAATTGAGAGTTAGTCTCGGTTCGTATTCCTTTCCTGCTGATTTTCCGTTGCAATGTTTTTTTACGGCTGGCTCGCAGGGCCTGACACCCACCTCCTAACTTTCCGGAGGACCAGGGTGCACAGTTGTGCTTAGAGTCCTTCACTGGCACTCGGACGTAGATCAGCCGCCCCTAACATGGGGAACAGACGCTGTTGTGAGCCGCTCCTCCTGGAGAACAGACGCTCAAGCTTGCCGAAGCAAACCCTCCTTCTCTGTCAGCCTATGACCAAAGTTCCCACCGGGGTTGGTTACCCGATCTTTCCAAGATTGCTCACAGTTCCCGGCCGGCTAGTGATCTCAATGGGATTTGCATTGCGCATTACCCAGCATTTACCGACCAACCATCTATCGTCCACATTGCAAAAATTGAGCGACTACGGTGGGCTGGGCACGTCGGAAGAATGCCGAACGACGACCTAGTGAAAATGGTTCTAGAAAGCGACCCAACAGGAACAAGAAGAAGAGGCGCGCAGCGAGCAAAGTGGATCGACCAAGTAGAAGGCGACCTGCGGACCCTTCGCAGAATAAATGTTGCCATGTTGCCATGGATCTAATGTTCCGTGTTGCCATGGATCTAATGGAGTGGAGACGACTTCTTCGGACAGCAGAGGA